CTCTATGATCGAAAAGTGAAAGAATAGGAAATAATTAATTAAAGAAAAAAATTTATAAACAAGTAATAGTGCGACGGATAGAGCTAACTAATATACCAAATGTCTGATGCTTACCTAGAATATATAGAAGAATTTAGTATAGAGATAGTTGATTTCAATCCGATTGGTCCTACTGCCTATATATCTTTGCCAGAAACTTTGCCGAAACGTAATAACGGAATTATTAATATTCAAAATAATGATGACTGATGTTTTGGGTGGAGTGTTCTAGGAGCTTTGCATCCTGTAAAAGTTCATCCAGAGAGAAATCCACATCGGCTATATGGAGGTTTCGTAGAGGAACTTAATATGGAAGACATCCCAATTCCAGTGCCGGTCTCAACACCAGTTTATAAAAAGTTCGAGAAAAATAATCCTAAAATCAGTCTATATGTCTATGAATGGCACAACCAGAATGAGTGTCTTGAATTTCGCTATGTTACAGAAAGAAGAGAGAATGAATACAAACAAGTAAATCTTCTAGTAATTACGGAAGATGATAGAAGTCATTACTGTATTATCAAAGATTTACATAAGCTAGTGTACAATTATAGCAAGCATAAAGGACGAAAATACATCTGCCGATATTGTCTTCATGTATATTCTACGGAAAAAAGATTTAAGGAGCACTTACCAAAATGCAAAGGTCTAAATGAGACTCCGCAAAGACCAAAAGTGCCAGGAAAAGATGATAATGAAAAGTATTTTCGTAATTATAAATGCATGCAACCAAATCCATATCACATTTTCTGGGATCTAGAATGCTTAACTGAGAAGCTAACTCCAGAAGAGAAAACGAAGTTAACCTACACAGAAAGATTACAGATGCACAAGCCGTGTGGATACTGCTATGTAGTAGTTCGCATGGACAGTTCACTTAATTATGAGGTAGTAAGTCATGATCTATATAGAGGTCCTGATGCTTTAGAAAAATTCGTTGAGAGAATCGAAGGAAAGCTTCTAACAATCCAAGAAGATTTATCTGTACCGGCTGAAATGATAATGGCATCAGGAGACTTGAAGGCATACAATGAAGCGACTGAATGCTGGATTTGCAAGGGACCTTTCTTAAAACCAGCACCAGAGATAATAAAAAAACTCGAAGAAGCAAAGCATAGATTATTAGAAGTTAAGGAATAGGAAACATGTATGGAAAAGGAGCATCCTGAAAAGAAGAAAGTGCAAAGGGCATATAAAGAAGCTTTAAGTACACTTAATCGAAAAGTAAAAGATCATGACCATATAAATGGAAACTATCGAGGTCCAGCCCATGATACTTGTAATAAAAAGTTGCGGATAGGCTCTTTCGAAACCAAAGTGCCCCTTATCTGTCATAATTTCCGGGGATATGACTCTCATCCGCTTATGAAAGTTGTGAGCAAGTTCACAGCTGATAAGCTAAATTGCATCCCAGAGAATATAGGAAAGTACAAAGCCATGGACGTAGGACAGCTTCAGTTCTTAGATAGCTTTCAGCACATGGGAATGGGACTAGATAAATTAGTTGAATGCCTAGGTGGAAAAATCGAAAAATTCCCCCTAACTGTTAAGTACTTTACAGAAAAAGGCTACTCAATAGATAAGATAAAGCTTCTTTTTCGAAAGGGTGTCTTTCCTTATGACTGGACCAACTCATGGGACAAGTTCGATAGAACAAAGCTTCCTTCAAGAAAAGATTTCTATTCGCTACTTAGTCAGCAAAATATTAGTAAGGAGGATTATAAACATGCGCAAGAAGTATGGCAGGAATTTGAGATGAAGAATTTTGGAGAATATCATGACTTATATCTTGAGACAGACGTACTCTTACTAGCTGATGTATTTATGAACTATACCATCATGTGTCTGCAAGATGATAGCTTAGACCCTTCCCACTACGTCTCAGCACCAGGAATGTTCAATGATTCATTATATAAGAGCAGTGGAGTCAAACTCAAACTCATGACAGATATGGATGAATATCTGATGGTTGAAAATGGTATCCGTGGAGGAATGACAATGGCAAGTCACCGATATGCCAAAGCTAATAATCCGAAATGTCTAGATTACGATTCTAGTAAATCTACAACTTGGACATTATATGAGGATATGAATGCTTTATATTCAGGAGCGATGACCCAATACATGCCTACAGAAATATTGGGAAAAGTAAGCCCAGATGAGGTTCCGAACATACAAAGTATTACATCAGATGCGGACATAGGATATACATTAGAAGTTGATCTAGAAGTCCCAGTGCATTTGCATGATTTCTTTGCGGATTATCCTTTAGCACCAGAAAAGCAGTTAGTTCCAGAAGAATGGCTTAGCTTGTATAATGAAAGATTAGTGCATGATAAAGAAGTTGGGGACGGAAAATATACAACAGGAGAAAAGCTCGTCCAAACCCTTTATCCCAAAAAGAACTACGTAGTCCATTATCGTGTACTCCAGTTATACATGAATTTGGGGATGAAAGTTACAAAGATTCATAGCGCTCTCAAGTTTAAGCAGTCTCCTTGGATGAAAGAATATATCGAGGAAAATATTCGTAAACGCAAAATAGCTAAGGCTAATGGGGATGAGTTTGGGGTTATATATTATAAGCTAAAGAATAATGCCGTCTTTGGTAAACAGATGGAGAATGTTCGAAAACACATGAGAGTTGAGCTACTCCGAACAGATGAGGATAAAAAAATCAGGCGCCTAGCAAGTTCTCCATTATTTGTAGGTTTCAAACAATTCGATGGAGGAATTACAGCTGTTCATATGTTAAAAAGCACAGTAACACTAAATAAACCAATCTATGTAGGACAGGCAATTCTCGACATTAGCAAGGCTATGATATTCAACTTTTGGTACAGTTACATAAAGCCTCACTATGAAGATAAGGCCCGTTTATTGTATACTGACACAGACTCACTCATCATGTTGATAGAAACAGATGATATCTATAAAGATCGGGCAGAAAGACCAGACATTTTCGATCTTAATTATTCGGGAGACTTATTTCTGATGAAGGATGAGACAAAGGGAAACCCAATAGGTGAATCAGTATGTTTAAAGCCAAAAATGTATTCAATTCTTCTAGCAAGACATGATCCTAAAACCCCTGAAACGGATGCAGATTATGAAAAAGAGTTAGAAGAGGAACAATATAGAAAATCTCAGGGTGAAAAGAAATGGGAGAAAAAGCATGGTATCCAAAAGGCAAAGGGTGTTAAGAAATGTGTGGTTAAGCGAGAACTTCGACATGATAAATTCCTAGAATGTCTTAGAAATAAGAAACTAACTCGGCATGATATGTATGGCCTCCGAAGTTATGATCATCAAATTTACCTTGAGAGGGTAAATAAGATAGGGCTGAATCCATATGATAACAAGCGCTGGATCTTACTTGATGGAATTCGAACTCTCCCATATGGACATTGGCGAATTAGACTATATAAACGCCTGATAGCATCTGAAATATCTTCTGAGGAAGCAGAAGAAAGGGCCATGAAAGCTAAACTTCGTGTCAAGACATAGATGTTTTATAACAAATATTTTTTTGGATAAAAAATTCTAAAGAATATATTTTTATTAATTAAAGTTTTTCTATCGTTATAGTAGAAACAATACAAAAATGGTCAATCATAAGGATATAGAACTTGCGCAAATCAAAGTCATAAAAACAGCATTGCGAAAGGGCAAAAAATATGATAATCTTGCGAAAAACTATGGAGACTATCTAAAGAA